CTAAGCTGAGGGAGGTCTCCCAGGGGCCGTGTAGAAACTCCTCACCTGAGGGAGGCCTCTGAGGGGCTATGTAGAAAGTCCTAAGCTGAGGGAGGCCTCCGAGGGGCCATGTAGAAAGTCCTAAGCTGAGGGAGGTCTCCCAGGGGCCGTGTAGAAACTACTAACCCGAGGGAGGTAGAGGATGGTTCCAGAAGGATACTGGGCTCCCGTAGCCTGCCCTGCCCACCCCAGTGTCTCAAGGGACAGAAGAGGGGCTGTGGGAGGCAGGTTGGGGACCACGTGCAGGTGCACCTGTTGAGATGCACTCAGGGTGCTTGGCACAATAGTAGGAGAACTGTTAGGGCAAGTGGTGAGATTCTGGTCTCAAAGGCTTCAGAAGGCAGAGAGGTTTTCATTAAGTCAGGGAATGGGCTGAAGGCAGCCAGTTCTTACGCTGGGGCAGTAAGTCACAGGGTGAAGATGAGGGATGATGAGAGCTTCCCTGGTGACTCTGTGTACCCCACATTCCTGTGCCCGTGCTCTAATTTGTGTGCTCACGTAAGCTCTGTGCTGGACGACCCTCCCAGGGGCAGGTTGAATGAGAATTACCCGTTAATGGTGTTTACTCTGGGGCCTGGAACCAAAACATTTGTAAAAACACTCTTTTTTTCTTTCTTTCTTTCTTTTTTTTTTTGAGATGGAGTCTCCCTCTGTCACCCAGGCTGGAGTGCAGTGGCACGATCTCGGCTCACTGCAACCTCTGCCTGCCGGGGTCAAGCGATTCTCCTGCCTCGGCCTCCCGAGCAGCTGGGATGACAGGCGCCCAGCAGCACTCACAGCTCATTGTATTGTATTTTCAGTAGAGATGGGGTTTCAGCATGTCGGCCAGGCTGCTCTGGAACTCCTGACCTCGTGATCCGCCCTCCTCGGCCTCCCAAAGTGCTGGGATGCCAGGCGTGAGCCACCGCGCCGGCCAAAGCCACTCTTTTAACCATGTTAATGATCCACAGGCGTGTTGACTTAGAACCTCTCTTACTAAATCTACCCTGAATAAATGCAAGGAGGAGTAGGGAGTAGGGGTCTGTGAGCTGCCATTGCCCCCTGAGAGCTGCTGATGACCTCCCCGGCCCAGTCGAATTCACTGTACGCTGCTGTGTGAGAGTGTGTTTCCTACACCCATCGCTGAATGAGGGACTGCAGGACGGACCTCTGCACGTAGCGATGAGTGTCTCACACACACTAGTGGAGACGGAGGACTTCAGGAGAGAGGCTGAGAGGAGACGGGGCCCTTCCTCAAGGATGTACAACTGGAAAGACCCTTTGACCCAGCAATCCCGTGACTGGGTATATACCCAAACGATTATAAATCATTCGATTGTAAAGACACATTCACACGTATGTTTACTGCGGCCCTGTTTACAATGGCAAAGACCTGGAACCAACCCAAATGCCCATCAAGGATAGACTGGATAAAGAAAATGTGGCACATAGACACCATGGAATACTATGCAGCCATGAAAAAGGATGAGTTCATGTCCTTTGCGAAGACAGGGATGAAACTGGAAACCGTCATTCTCAGCAAACTGACACAGTAATGGAGAAGTAATCAACACATGTTTTCACTCACAAGTTGGAGGTGAACAATGAGAACACATGGGCACAGGGAGGGGAACATCACACGCAGGGGCCCGTCGGGGGGTGGGGGAGCTACGGGAGGGAAAGCAGGGGGTGGGGAGGTTGGGGAGGGATAACACTGGGAGAAATGGCTGATGTACGTGACAGGGGGATGGAGACAGCAAACCTCCAGGGCACGTGTGTACCTACGCAACCATCTGCATGGACTCACCACTGCCAAGGGTGACTGTGCTGTTATTCATCCTAAGCTGTCACTTCTCTGCTGTGAACTTTAAGCCAAAAGCCCAAAACTCGAGTCTGGGCAGGGCCGGAGGGAGGGAGGGTATCTGTGTTTCTCTGAGGGGACCTCACCTGTGCCACCCACCCGAAGCTTGATCAGTGTGAACGGTGTGTCCAGGTGGGGACCTGGTGGGAGAAGAGGCACGGGCCTTCACAAACACGGGCTGGCCAACCGTCACGGGTGTCCCGTGCAGTCCTCTGTCAGCCTCGGCCCTAATTGTCCCCCTGGGGGTGGGGGATGCTGATATTTGGCAAGCAGGGCAGGCTTTTACTACAAGAACAATCCTGGCATCTGTGTGGTGGCACCCAAATAAAAATACTGTTTTTCCAAAGTGAAATGGTTTTCTTTTCCTTTTTTTTTTTTTTCTGTTTTGAGACAGAGTATCACTCTGGAATGCAGTGGCAGGGTCCCGGCTCCCTGCTACCTCCGCCTCCCAGATTCAAGTGATTCTCCCGCCTCAGCCTCCAGAGTGGCTGTGTTTACAGGCGTGCACCACCACACCTGGGTAAGTTTTGTATTTTTAGTAGAGACGAGGTTTTGACATGTTGGCCCGCTTGGTCTTGAACTCCCGACCTCAAGTGATCTGCCCAGCTCGGACCCCCGAAGTGCTGATATTGCAGGCGTGACCCACCATGAGAAAAAAGTTACTTCCTGGTGCCGCTTGCGAAGTTCAGCCCGCCCCGCCCACACCCCACCCGCCTCAGGGCTGTCGAGTTACAGAGTGTCCACGTTATGTAAACATCACAAGAAGAAGAAACAGCCACACACCCAAGAAAACACACCCTTTTCTTTTTAGGGACATTGCCATGGGATCACAGTTCCTCTTTATAGAAATGTGACCGAAAGCACCACGGGAGGCCGTGTGTGTGTGTGTGTGTGTGTGTGTGTGTGTCTGGGTGTGTGTGTCTGGGTGTGTGTGTGTGTGTGTGCACGTGCATGTGTGTCTGTGTGT